CCGAAGACAAATTACTCCTTTTAATATTTGTGTTGAGTTCAGTGTTATTTTAAAGTCTATAAAGCTTCTGCCATGAGCAAGTAGCATCTCATTGTAGACTTTTCCCCTCAGAGTTAAATTAAGGCTTTGAACCACCTGGGCAACAAATCTGTATCTATTGATTTTCACTGAGTATTTAGTAATTTAACAATTCTGTGGCTTGATTCCCATTTCTTTTTGCCTTTATAAACAAACAAACCCTACAGTGATTTTTGACTCTCATAAATTATCTCCTGGCCTTTGAGAATAACTATTTTCTTTAGTTATTCAGATCTTAAATTTCACCTGTTTGAAGAGAACAGGCAAACATCTAATGAATTAAGTCAAGACCTTAATATACACAGAGCCTTCAAAAGCTCATGGAAAAAGTGGAATTAAAAGTTGTGGAATTTCCCAACAAGCTTTTAAAAGCATTCTTGTATACATTTGTGATTCCTTTTCTAAATGTGACTTGGAACCCATAACTTTCTCTCACGTCTCTCTAAACTTTCATTTTCTATATGTCTGCATGACATGGTTGTTTAGAATTGGCGTATTATGGTTGTAATTGTAATATATCCTTTCTAAAGAGGGGGGTGTCATAGCAGTGCCTTCTCAGACAAAATAAGAGACTTTGATCTGTGGGTTAATAAGTCACAGAACTCAAAACGATCCGTGCCGTATTTATTGATCAAGGGAGCAAACAATGTAATTCAACCTTGTGTCTTGATAGTCGTGCCTTCAAACGAGGTGCTTCATTGTAGTGATTACCCGTATTTCTGTGTTGTAAGTTCACCTGTGTGCACAGTGTTCATGGACTTTCTATAAGGAAGCTGCTCTTTTGTTTTAACTGTGTAACACTGCTTTCTGTTTGGCTAGAGTCATGGAGTCAATCGGTACCTTGGCCCAAGAGATTGTATTCTTCGCTGGCACATTCCCTCTTATGTAAAGGGTAGTATACATTAGGAGTTCATATAAATAATGTCATAATGGTGAGAAAGTAATCTGCCCTGTGGAAATTGTGGTTGGGTTAGAAGTAGCATATGTGTACAAAATACAATAAAGGCTAAAGGGGGAAGCATTCTAAGAACTCTAGGTAAACTGAAAAAAGAATCACGTACTAGAGCTCTTACCTTTTCTTGATAGCCTCCTGGGGATTGTTTAACCATCTAGAAGAAAAAAGCCTGCAAAATGTAGCCGATTTATTTTCTACTCTATATTTCACCAGTTGCTAAGTAGGGAATATGGTGGCCACTAAACCAGCATGATGGTTGTTATCCTGTGTGACTTTTGTCCCTACCCATGATTAAATTGAGAAAAATGAGGATCTTAGATTCTGCTGATGTGTGTCTTTATAAGTGGTCTGGAGGCCTGCCTACCAGCATAATTTTAGGATCTTACATTTTGGGAATAGACTATTTTCCCACTGAATATTGTCATATAAATATATCTTTGTGCCTATGGTGTATTTATGCATATTTTTCTTTTATTTTTGGTAGAAAATGATGCATCCTGTTGCCAGCAGTAACCCAGCTTTCTGTGGGCCTGGCAAGCCTTCTTGCCTCAATGAAGATGCCATGAGAGCCGCTGCTGACCAGTTTGACTTATATGCCTCCCAGCAAAGCAAATACAGCCACACAGTCGGCCACAAACCCATGGCTTGTCAGAGGCAAGACCCACTAAATGAAACACACTTGCAGACTACAAGTGGCAGGAGCATAGAAATAAAAGATGAACTAAAGAAAAAGAAAAATCTCAACCGATCTGGTAAGCGCGGCCGGCCTTCGGGAACCACCAAATCAGCGGGATACCGGACCAGCACAGGCAGACCCCTGGGAACCACCAAAGCAGCTGGATTTAAGACAAGTCCAGGCCGACCTCTGGGTACAACTAAAGCCGCGGGATACAAAGTCAGCCCAGGGAGACCTCCAGGTAGCATTAAAGCTCTGTCGCGTCTTGCCGATCTCGGTTACGGCTGTGGCACTGCTGCTTTTCCTTACCCGATGATGCACGGCAGAGTGGTTCACGGGGTCGGGGAAACCAGCAGTGAAGTCAAGCCGCCCAATGAGTGAATGAATGAGCAGGAAAGGAGGGTCTGCTTGAGAAGGAAGAGTGTGAATAATCCCAAAGCTTCTTGGTTTTTTTTTACACACAGGAGTGTAGGGCCTGGGCTTTCCAAATCTGTTTCCATTTGACTTTTTCCTGCTTTTGCTCAGAGCTGCCATATGCGGGCAGATGCACTCAGGGCGCGAGCAGGGCATTGTATTTGTACATAGATTCAACTGTAATACCACCTAAATCATTTTTGGTTTTCCGTTAGTGTTATGGCAGTCCCGTGTGTTTCATTACAACTGTTGGCCATTCTAAACAGATACATTTGAAACCGTTAAAACTATTAGTTTGTGAAGTGCAGTATAACAAAGGTACTATCTGGAGGTATTTTTAACTGATGAGTAAAACAAACTAATGATTTGGACTTGCATAAGGTAATAACTGAATTTTTGTACCATTTTCATGAGACGGGACACATTCATATGCATTGGCATTTTACATAAACTTCAGATGTTAAAAAGCTTACTTGTAATTTCTATGTTTAGGTAGCTTCGTATTTATTTACCTACATGCCATTAATTGCTCTAACCATCAATGTTTGTTTTTCAGCAGTGATAAGTTATATGTTTTTTAATTGCATAAGAGCATATATACCAAACACTACAAATAATGCATATTTACAAAAAAAATTGAACTATTTTATGATCACCTGCACATGACATTTCTAATGAAATATAATGCATTCTGAGAAGAGCATATTTAATAGAAATAGGAAAAGAGACATTCCGAAGGCCCGCATATGGCTATGGTCAGTACATGCTGCCTTTTTTATACTTAGTGAATTTTTTAAAGTATTATGTTTAAAGACATTGATTAGTGTTGCTCATTTATTTGTAATTTTTTAGTTTTTCTGAGGAATACTCCCATTACATTAGAATTTATTGTGTTTTCCGGTTTATATCTACCAAGGTCACAAATTTAATGGTAGACCGTAAAACTGGTATAAACAGAAGGCAGTCTCCTGGCTGTCAGAACCCAAATATTAAGAAATATATAAGAATTCATCTATGCATGAAAAAAATAGAAAAATATGCTTATTATTTAAAATCTTGTGGATCCTGGGAGACCACTTCATCCAAAAGAATTTTTCCCCCCAACAATGTTTGCTTTAAAAGCAAAAATAGATAGAAAAGGAAAAAACAACAGCATTGGGGTAAATATATATAGTAGGGCAGGAGGTAAATCCCTTTCCATCGTTTTTGAAAGTAATAGCCCTTGTTAATACACATTTTATTTATTCTGAGTTTGTCTAAATAAATTAAACTATTTTAAACTTTGGATTTGAAAATTCCACTGAACTTTAAAGTTACAATGTATGTACTTGCAATTTAATTGCCTTTGAGATTATATTATTATAGATTTACAGTACCCCAAAATTTAAAAAATTATTGAAAGGGCACATGCTGTGTTGTTTGGCTTGCTCTCAGTTAATGCAAGCTCTGATTGCAAATGGATGTCATGTTTCGTACCTTTTTTATCAGGAAAAAAGCAGCAAGCCTTCAGGTGTTCCAGTGATGCCTGACACAATGAGCTGGACTTTATGCTGCTCTTTACAGTAAGAGGTGTTGCATTATGTGTGGGACTGTGTGCACTGGCATCTAAGACAGTGACCTCAACAATTTTAGCATTGCACAAACCATAGAGAACAGTGTGGGATGACTGCTTAATCAATTGTCACATTCTGGCAGCTAAATGGCTTCAAGAGTATGTTCTTGCTGAGGCTTAAAATAGAAATTTTAAGTAATTTATTCAGTATAACTTCTGACACACACAAATGCTTACATCTGTATTCATATGTTCATCTATCTGTTTTTATTATGTATCTGTCATTTAGCTATTTCTCAAGATGATGTTCAGCAGTTGGTTGCTTAGAAATCCTTTTTGAACCTCGTTCCTGTATTAAATGTTTTTTCTTATGATAATATATACCACTGTCTAGGATTTGACCGCATGTTGCGTTCTATAGGAAGTCCATTTGGCATTTCCCTTTCTGTTTGTTTCATTCCTGATTTTGCTCTATGGACCCACGGCCCTTTCCTATGTTCAGCCACCTCACTCGCCCCGAGCCTCCAGCCCAGCTACTCAGTGGTGCTCTGTGTCAGAAGATAAAGCAGATGTATTATTGTATAATGAATTTTGTACACGTTTATGAAATGGTAAAATCAACTAAAGGAGGTCTGGCTCAGCAGTGAGGCGCTATGTCCCAGGAAAGAAAGCGGGGAGAGGGAAGGATGTTCTGCGGCTGTGAATGGATAGCAATGGATTGCTGTTTATGTGGGCAGTGATCCAGAATATTTGATCCATATACTGGTGTGCATCTCCTTAATCCACTTACGCTTTCTCCTGGTGAACAGTGTACTAGTGCCATGCTGAAGAGAAAGACACATACGTGATAATGTATTTGAAATCTTAAAATATTATAAGGTATTTTTACTTCTGTATAATCTGAAGACTACATTGTGCATCTTTTGTAACACTGTCTCTTGTCATGGTAAACACTGAAATAGCATGTTAAATGATTGCCTAAACTTTAATATAATCAGATGGGGAAAGCTGATCTTTTCTCCCGACTGTATGATTGTTCCTTGAAAGGTAAATTACTAATTTTATACTGTGTAATTCTGTTCTTCACAAAATAGGTTTCACTATTCTATATTAAAACTTTTGGTCAGAAAATGATCTACCATTCAAGTAAGTTTGTCTTATTTTTTCTTTAGATATTTTAACATGCCATTTTTATTATTCTATTAACAAATAAGGAGCTCTAATACATATAAAATTTTCATTTTTTTGACAGATAACTTTGCATAACCAATCTTCAGTATGGGATGATTTTGATACTATCTTTGGAGTTTTGCCCTGGGTATTTAAAAAAAATTGGCACAATGTATTAAAAGAAAATATAAGTATCTCATTAATTTTAATATTTGGGGAAATTTTTAAAGTCAGTATTTTAGTTAGACAAAAATTCCTTGTACCTTTAATTGCCTTGAAAAAAGAAACATCTGTCAAATCAATATTCATTCCAAACTGATGTGTGAATTTACATGCACATTAAAGTAAGATAAGAGTTGGTTTGCGTTGAGGGAGAAAAGTCTAGATTCATTTATTAAGCCAAGAGTGATCCATCCAGTGTAAGTATGAGTTAAAGAAGATAAAATCAAACTTCTCTTTTGTATTTTAAGAAGCTTTAAAAGAACAATTCAGGGGATGTCAGTAACTGCCACTCTGTCAGTCATTGTCTATATGCAGTACAACTTTATTATCCCTTTATAATAGAATAGTTCATAACAGTTATTCAAAACATTTTCCCTTGGACCACATATATTTTTAAACTACCATTATTTTTTAACTATATGCTATTAAACTCTAGGGTGTATCTAAGTCTCTCGTTTTTCTTCTCCCCTCCCAAGTAGATAAGTCTCTGCTTTTTGCATATAATGATTTAAGTTTTGAAATTTTTTATGCTATAGTAAATCAATAAGTGTGTGATTTATAGTATTAAGACCACTCTGATTCTTTTAAAATTTTTATAATATCCTTTTTCACAGGTAATTAGGTAATTATGGGAGAAAATAACTACCAATTAACTGATAAAAGCACGCTGTCCTCTGCTGTAAAAAAGTCTGAATAAATACTGTGTATGTTTTTCTGTCCATGAACTTGAGCTACTCGTGTGCAATTAATGTCTATGGAATGGAGTAGTGTTCATGATTTGTATCTACATCATCATATGGATGTATATTTATTAATAAAGTCATTACTTTCAAACCAACTATGTTTATTATTTTATTTCTTAGTCCTTC